GTACACTAATTTTGGACACATTGTTTGACACTTGAATTGTTGTCAAGTGTCAATTGGATTGGAAAACTGTTTGAAATTTAAACGGTCCAACAGGTTAATATCGCGTTGCAATGTGTGAACTAATGTGTGCACCATAGTGTACATATAGCACGATCCTTACTAGTTGAACTTTGCTATTTGTACACTGAATTTTGACATGTTGTTTGACACTTGCACTATTGTCAAGTGTCAATTGGATAGGAAAAATGTTTGAAATTTAAAATGTCCAATAAGGTAATATCACGTGACAAAGTGTAAACTAAAGTGTGTACATCATAGTATACATGTAGGAAGGTTCTTACCGATTGAACTTATCTATTTGTACACTGAGTTTTGATACGTTGTTTGACTATCGCTTTGTTGTCAAGTGTCAATCGGGTGGAAAAACAGTTTGAAATATAAACTGTCTAATAGTGTAATGTCACGCGGCAATGTGTAAACTAAAGTGTACACCATAGTGTACATGTAGTATGGTCCTTACCGATTGAACTTTGCTATTTGTACATTGATTTTTGACACGTTGTTAGATACTTGCATTGTTTTCAAGTGTCAATTGGATGGGAAAACTGTTAAAAATTTAAACTGTCCAGCTGGGTAACATCACGTGACAAATTGTAAAGTAAAGTTTGTACACCATAGTGTACATGTCGCAAGGTTCTTACTAATTAAACATTGCTATTTATACATTGATTTTCGACACGTTGTTTGACAATAGCATTGTCGTCACGTGTCAATTGGATGTGAAATGTAAAATCCCGAATTTTTACTTAGCATTAATTTATTTAATAGGAATGCAATGTTCAGTTAAGTCCTTATACAAGTTAATTGGTTATCTCTATAGTTAATTTGGATCTATGTGAATATCTTTATAGTTGAGGGACCAAAGTGAAAATAAGTTTCAGATTTTATACCTTTATTAAATAGGCCAAATAGTTAATTATTGAAGGAGTTAGAATTACCCTACCAATATTGGGCTCATTTTGAAGCTCGTAATAAATGACGAATTATGGACTCAAGAGAAATTCAATTTGGATTCGTTAAACTTGAGTTATAGCCAATTAAGAAAACTACTTAGTTAATAATATTAGTTATTAATTCGAGCTAAATTACTATATCAGTATTGGACTCCTTTGATAGATAATAATTAATTATATATGTTAGGATTAAGAAAAGAATTTTGCATATAATTTATTTGCCATTAATAGAAATGGCTTGTCTAATCAAAACTTTATGCAAAAGTCAATTTGTTATGTCTATAGTTAATTTGGATGTAAATGAATATCTTTATAGTTGAGGGACCAAAGTGAAAATAAGTTTCAGATTTTATACTTTTATTAAATGGGCCAAATAGTTAATTGTTGAATGAGTTAGAATTACCCTATCAATATTTGGCTCATTTTGAAGCTCGTAATAAACGGCGAATTATGGACTCAAGAAAAAGTTAATTTGGTCAAGGGAAACCCGAGTTATAGCCGTCTAAAGAAATTTATGAAAAATGGAATTATGGGGTAAATTCTAAGTCCATTCCTCTTCTGTTTTTGTCGAGATATTATTTTGTGATAATTATTGGTTACTTGTAATACTAATCTACTTTAATTAAGATAGAAATTATTATTCTTAATCATATAGGATTCGGATTATGATAAAGTCTTCTAATAATTATTGTATTAGAATAGTTAGGACTTTAATTAATTAAACTAGTTAAGTTATTTTATTTGAAACTCTCTTCCATTTATTTTGATTTAATCGAAGACAGGAGATAAATATGTTTTATTAGACCTACTTCCCATGCAGATTTTCGAAGGTACATTTCTAAAGATAATTTACGTGGTTGGGTTTGAAAAGGATTAACAGAAACCTAATCAATTTGGCTGGCATATGACTCTAGTTTTCCATTTTCAAAACAAGTTTATCCTTCATGTGCAAATGATATGTAGCGATAAAGTCTATTTATTATAATAATTGTTTACTTATCTACTTTGATTAGGATAGAAACTATTATTCCTAATCATGTAGGATTTTGATTATGATAAAGTCTTCTAATAATTATCGTATTAGAATAGTTAGGACTTTAATTAATTAAACTAGTTAAGTTATTTCATTTGAAACACTCTCCCATTTATTTTGTTTTAATCGAAGACAAGAAATTAATTAGCTATTAATTAAGTTGTTTTATTAGAATAATAAATATATATATCTCATGCAATTTGGAGATACCATACCCACGTAAAGGGGTCATACAATTTCAATGCCATTAAATCTTTTTCCTATTATAATTGTGGTTGATATGGAATTTATCTGAACCCAATAGTTATCCCCAAATCAGATAGAAGTCTAGTTGCCGAGGAGTGTATGGACGGAAATTTAGAATTCAAAACTTATCAAAATTCCACTTCCCACGTGATTACCCTACACCATGGTTTAGTATAAATATAGCACTAAACCTCAAGCATTTAGTCATTAATACCCCATTCTTCTTCTGCAAGTCTTTATTTTCTCCTCCTCTTTAAAAATATTTCTCCATATTATTAAGGCTTTTTAAGGCTTTGGAATTTCAATAAAGAATCACGTTTTCAGCAATTTTGTTTTCCACGTTCATCTTCAAAAGGTGAGATGCTCAGTGCTATTAGTGGTTTGTCCACATCTTTTCAAATACGTTGTTATGTATAGATTTAATTACTTTAGTTCAGAGCTCCTTTGGGAGAAATCATGATACAATTTAAGGCACAATTTAGCCTTCGCATTATTTGCAGCGCTTGCTTGAATTATCATTTGTCATGGTGTGATAATTCTCACGTTATGTTGGTAAGAGAATTTATGCATAATTTCACATTTGATTTGAATGTGGAGTAGCAAGCATCTCATTGAGTATAATTCGTTATACTCATCCCTCTCTATTTACAATTTTCAGGTAGAAATTAGTATGCTGGACGGCGGCGGATGGATGCATGTTGGACCAATGGATCTCCATCATGAAGTACTTTAATTTTCAGAAACACTAGAATATTTAATAATAGTTGATTATTATTATTTTCAAATTTAGACTCAATTGTGAGTCACGTCATAACTTTCAATTTGTCCTATTTTTACTATTTGTTAGAACTACTTTTATTAATGTTTGATAAAAGATATGATTCCAAATTGTTCTGCATATGTTATTTAATTTAATTTACCTTTTGTTAATGATTTTCAATTTTTACTGAATTCTTCGTTATATTAAAATGTATTTGCGTCAAGCACTTTATTAATCAACTCACGTTTGGTAACGTTCCGGGTATAAAGAGAATTCGGGGCGTTACAGCTTGGTTTCAGAGCAATGGTTTACTTTCTTGTAGATTTTCAAAATTTAAAAATTTTGGAAAAAAAAAAGCTATATATATTTAATCTTTTTTGGGAGATTCATTGTTCGAGTTTTCTTGCTTTGAGTATTCGTAAAACTAAGAGACTTTGTCAAAAAGACCTAAACTGTCTAAGGCGAGATTGGGATTTAAGCGGTCGACTTGTGACCCCCCTCCTCACCTGGAAGCCTTTTTAGTTGCGCATTATTCAAATCGATAAGATGAAAAATAATGTTTTAAACCCACTTCAATTTTAGAAAATTCTTTCATTTTAGAAACTTTTATACCAAAAAAAAAAAACAATTTTACAAAAATTTATAAGTTACAAGATCCATGGAATCCAATGCTCATCAATCTACCACTGTCCAATATTTTAAGGTATGTAAGGATGAAGAATATTTTTATTGATATTACCATTTATATTTCAGTGCATTCTAGTTAAATCATGATTTTTTTTCTACACGTCATTTTACTTTAAGGGAAAATGTTAATTAAGCAAATGATTATTTTGTGTAGGATTGTATGATTAGTAAAGCAATTCTTATATGACTAGAACTTTAGTGCATAACACTTGGCCTTAGCATAACCTACACGAAAGACATGACTAAATATAGAAAAACCTTTAAGAAGAGTGTAGTATGGTTGAGCAGTTCTTAAGATAAATTACTTTTACTTCAAGGAAATGGCACGACGACAACAAGATCAAGCTACTATGTTCAGAGATTTACTAATGGCAGTGCAAGACTTGGGCAGGCAGCAGGCTCAAGCGGTACCTCATAATGCAACAGGAGGTGCCAACACCATGAGCTCAATTGTTGAACAGTTTCGTCGCTTTAAACCTCCGTCCTTTGATGGTAAAGGTGATCCTTTCACAGCTGAGGAGTGGCTGAGAAGACTTGAAGGGATCTTCGAGCACATGAACTGCAATGATGCTCAAAAGGTTTCTTGTGCAAAGTTTATGTTGACTGATGATGCTGGACATTGGTGGGAGTCTGAAACACGTACTAGAACTACAAAACAACAACGTAACCTCACTTGGAACCAGTTCAAGGAGTCGCTGATAGGTAAATATTTTCCCCAGTCATTGAAAGATCAAAAGGAGGTAGAATTTCTCCAGCTCACGTAAGGAAATTTGCCACTTGGGGAGTATGAAAGAAAATTTGAACGACTTTCTAGGTATGCACCACATATGGTGAACACTGGGCTGACAAAGGCTAAAAGGTTTGAGAGGGGGTTAAGGCCAGAGATCAAGGGAATCATGGCAGCCCAGCAGTATACTACTTATGCAGAGGTTGTACGTCAAGCACAAGCAATCTCTAATGGTTTAGGACTGGAAAAGAAAACCCAACCCAGCACCGAGTCGTCTATAAAGAGAAAGTGGCAAGGTCATGATAAGGAGAAAGGTAGGAACCAGAATAAGAAAGGAAAGATTGGGTCAGACTCAAATAAAACTTTTCCTCAATGCTCCAATTACAACAAGCGACACTTGGGTGAATGTCTTCAGGGAAAGGGAGTATGCTACATTTGTGGTAAGAGTGGTCATTTCCTCAAAGAATGTCCAGAGAAGAAGAGAGAAGGTGACCAACTTAAGAAGGGAAAGGCCAGAGTATTTGCTTTGATAGGAGAAAAGGAGGATCATAACACAGACGTAATAACAGGTATGTTACCAGTATCTGACGTACCTGCTATTGTCCTTATGGATTCTGGATCCACTCATTCATTTATTTCTACAATTTTCATGGATAAGATTGGGAGTGAATTCGTAAAAATGAATAACATTTTAGAAGTTAATACACCCTCAGGCGAAGTGGTTAATACCAATCAAATGGTTAAAGATGTTAAGTTAGAGATCAAAGGAAAAGTACTAAAGGCAGATTTGTACCTTTTGAGGATGAAAGACTTTGATGTAATTTTGGATATGGACTAGTAGGGTAGAAATTATGTAACCATCTTATGCCATAAGAAGGAAGTTTTATTTCAAAAACCTGGAGAAAAAATTTTTCAATTCTTTGGAACAAAAATTGGGACCCTACCTCGATTGGTATCTACAATGAAAGCACAAAAGATGTTGAGAAAGAATACTTGTCAAGGATTTCTATTGAATATAATTAGTAAGCCCCAAACCGAAAGAAAAATAGAAGATGTACTAGTAGTTAATGATTTTGTAGATGTTTTTCCTGAGGATTTACCTGGTATACCGCCTGATAGACAAGTAGAGTTCACAATTGACTTGACCCCTGGGGCAGCGCCAATATCTAAGGCTCCTTACAGGATGGCACCAAATGAATTACAGGAGTTGAAGATACAACTACAGGAATTATTGGATTAGGGTTTCATCCGGCCAAGTGTATCCCCATGGGGAGCGCCGGTATTGTTTGTTAAAAAGAAAGATAGGTCAATGAGGATGTGTATTGATTATAGAGATATTAATCGTTTGACTATAAAGAACAAATATCCACTCCCAAGGATAGAGGATCTTTTTGATCAATTGAAGGGTGCAAAGTTGTTCTCAAAAATAGATTTGAGATCAGGTTATCACCAACTCAAGATAAAGGATTGTGATATTCCTAAAACGGCGTTTAGAACACGATATGGGCACTACGAGTTTACGGTGATGCCATTTGGTTTAACCAATGCACCAGCTGTGTTTATGGACTTGATGAACCGAGTTTTTCATCCATATCTAGATCAATTCATTATAGTCTTCATTGACGATATATCGGTATACTCAAAGGATAAACAGCAACATGAAGAACAGTTGAGAGTGGTATTGAATACTCTTCGAAAGGAGAAGTTGTATGCTAAATTCAAAAAATGTGAGTTCTGGCTGGATCGTATTGACTTCCTTGGTCATGTGGTCACTGCTCAAGGAATTGAGGTAGACCCAGCTGAAGTTGAAGCTGTAACAAATTGGTCTAGACCAACTAATGTAGGCGAAGTTCGTAGTTTCTTGGGTCTGGCTGGCTATTACTGGAGATTTATTGAAAGATTTTCTAAGATAGCTGGTCCACTGACACAATTAACTAGAAAGGGAGTGAAGTTTCAATGGTCAGATAAGTGTGAAAGTAGCTTCCAAGAACTGAAACAGAGATTAGTTTCAGCGCCAGTATTGACAATACCAGACGGCTCAGAAGGTTTTGTTATATACAGTGATGCTTCTAAACAAGGTTTGGGGTGTGTGTTGATGCAACATGGAAAGGTTGTTGCTTATGCCTCTAGACAGTTAAAACCATATGAGCAGAATTATCCAACACATGACTTAGAACTTGCAGCAGTAGTTCACGCATTAAAAATATGGCGTCACTATCTCTATGGTGGAAAATGTGAGATATACACTGATCACAAAAGTCTCAAATACTTCTTTACTCAAAAGGAGTTAAATATGAGACAGAGGAGATGGTTGGAATTGGTCAAAGACTATGATTGCACCATTCTTTACCATCCAGGTAAAGCCAACGTAGTTGCTGATGCTCTAAGAAGAAAAACAATTGGAAAGTTGACAGCTCTACCCACTCAAGAATAGTTAATTAAAGAATTTGAAAATTTGATGCTAGAGGTTGTTGCACCTTCTGTACAGGAAGCAATTGTTGCAGCTCTAATGGTTCAACCCACTCTTAGAGAACGGATTAGAGAAGCCCAAAAGAATGACCCATTTTTGTGTAAAATTATGGCTGAAGTTGGGACAGATAAGCGAAAGGGATTTGCAATAACTGAGGACAAGGTACTTATGTATAAAGGCAGATTATGTGTTCCTAAGGATGAGGGATTAAGGAAAGAAATTCTTGAAGAAGCACATTCTACTGCTTATACAGCACATCCAGGCAGTACAAAAATGTATCGAGACCTTCGAAATACATTTTGGTGGAGAAACATGAAAAGAGGGATAGGACTTTTTGTAAGTAAATGTATGGTATGTCAGCAAGTGAAAGCAGAACATCAGAGACCTTCAGGGTTGCTTAGACCACTAGATATATCGGAGTGGAAATGGGAACACATTACCATGGATTTTGTGGTAGGATTTCCGAGGTCTGCTAAAGGAAACAGTGCTATCTGGGTAATAGTGGATCGTCTTACAAAGTCAGCCCACTTTCTTCCAGTCAAGATGACATTTACCATGGAACAATATGCACAAGTTTATGTTAAAGAAATAGTCAGGTTACATGGGGTCCCCGTTTCTATTATTTCAGATAGAGACCCGAGATTCACGTCAAAATTTTGGAAAAGTCTACAAAATGCTATGGGGACAAAATTGAAATTTAGTACTGCATATCACCCATAGACTGATGGACAATATGAAAGGACAATTCAGACACTCGAAGATATGTTAAGAGCGTGTGTACTAGATCTCGGTGGCAGCTGGGAAACACACTTGCCTTTAGTAGAGTTTGCCTATAACAATAGTTTTCAAACAACTATAGGCATGGCACCTTATGAGGCATTATATGGTAGGAAATGCAGATCACCTATCTATTGGGATGAGGTTGGAGAAAGAAGAATCCTAGGACTGGAGATTGTTGATCAAACAGTACGAGCTGTGGATAAGATTTGAGATAGAATTAAGGCTGCTCAGGATAGACAGAAAAGCTATGCTGATAGAAGGAGAAAAGATCTTGAGTTCCAAATCGGTGACAAAGTATTTTTAAAAGTAGCTCCAATGAAGGGAGTACTTAGATTTGGAAAGAAAGGAAAATTGAGACCAAGATTCATTGGACCATTTGATGTATTAGAAAGAATTGGAGATGTGGCATATAGACTAGCACTGCCACCAGAACTTTCAGCAGTACATAATGTTTTTCACGTATCAATGTTGCGCAAATACTTACAGGACCCTAGTCATGTGATCAACCATCAAAATTTAGATGTATAACAGGATTTAACCTATGAAGAAATGCCACTGAGGATACTAGAAAGAAAGATTCATGTACTAAGAAACAGGGAAATTCCTTTAATCAAGGTCTTATGGCACAATCATGGAATGGAAGAAGCAACTTGGGAAAAGGAAGAAGAGATGAAAATCAAGTATCCCGAACTTTTCAACTAACTTAAGGTAAATTTCGAGGACGAAATTATTTTAAGGAGGGTAGGTTGTAAAATCTCGAATTTTTACTTAGCATTAATTTATTTAATAGGAATGCAATGTTCAGTTAAGTCCTTATACAAGTTAATTGGTTATCTCTATAGTTAATTTTGATCTATGTGACTATCTTTATAGTTGAGGGACCAAAGTGAAAATAAGTTTCAGATTTTATACCTTTATTAAATAGGCCAAATAGTTAATTATTGAAGGAGTTAGAATTACCCTATCAATATTGGGCTCATTTTGAAGCTCATAATAAATGACGAATTATGGACTCAAGAAAAATTCAATTTGGATTCGTTAAACTTGAGTTATAGCCAATTAAGAAAACTAATTAGTTAATAATATTAGTTATTAATTCGAGCTAAATTACTATATCAATATTGGACTCCTTTGATAGATAATAATTAATTAGATATGTTAGGATTAAGAAAAGAATATTTTGGATTAGTTGAATTAAGATAAAATTCAATGGAAGAATCAAGCCATAAATGAAAATTCTAATTAGTTAGTATGCATTTCAGGTCTCGGCCATTAGGAATTTAATATGATAGGTATTGACAATTAAGGAATTTAAAGATAATTGATTAAAACATAATAATAATATTCCAGAAACTATTAAATTCCTTGTAATGCTAATCTACTTTAATTAGGATATAAATTATTATTCCTAACCATGTAGAATTCGGTTTAGATAAAGTCAATCACTATTTCATATTAAAACTCTATCTTTACTAAACCAGTGTATATGTAGTCCACGTGTGTAAAGGTCATGCAGCCTCTTTATCTTTTTCTTAATCGCAATTTTAGAACTTTGGCAAATTCCCATAAAAAAATCACCAATTAGAATTCTAATTAATTAATCAAATTGTAGAGGAACTAAATACCTTTTCTTTTATCCAATTTCGGATTATGATAGACTTCAAATTATATTGTATTAGAATAATTAGAACTCCCTCCCAGGCAGATTATTTTTGAAGGTACATTTTTAGTTAATTTACGTGGTTGGATTTAAACAGGTTAACAGAAACTTAATCTATTTGGCTGGGCATATGACTCTAGTTTTCCATTTTCAAAACAAGTTTATCCTTCATGTGCAAATGATATGTAGCGATAAAGTCTATTTATTATAATAATTGTTTACTTATCTACTTTGATTAGGATAGAAACTAGTATTCCTAATCATGTAGGATTTTGATTATGATAAAGTCTTCTAATAATTATCGTATTAGAATAGTTAGGACTTTAATTAATTAGACTAGTTAAGTTATTTCATTTGAAACACTCTCCCATTTATTTTGTTTTAATCGAAGACGAGAAATTAATTAGCTATCAATTAAGTTGTTTTATTAGAATAATAAATATATATATCTCATGCAATTTGGAGATACCATACCCACGTGAAGGGTTCATACAATTTCAATGCCATTAAATCTTTTTCCTATTATAATTGTGGTTGATATGGAATTTATCTGAACCCAATAGTTATCCCCAAATCAGATAGAAGTCTAGTTGCCGAGGAGTGTATGGACGGAAATTTAGAATTCAAAACTTATCAAAATTCCACTTCCCACGTGATTACCCTGCACCATGGTTTAGTATAAATATAGCACTAAACCTCAAGCATTTAGTCATTAATTCCTCATTCTTCTTCTACAAGTCTTCATTCTCTCCTCCTCTTTAAAAATATTTCTCCATATTATTAAGGCTTTTTAAGGCTTTCGAATTTCAATAAAGAATCACGTTTTCAGCAATTTTGTTTTTCACGTTCATCTTCAAAAGGTGAGATGCTCAGTGCTATTAGTGGTTTGTCCACATCTTTTCAAATACGTTGTTATGTATGGATTTAA